GTCAAGATATAGCATGTACACAATTACCCCTTCAAACTTCCCTCGAGGCGGTGGCTGTCCGAGCAGTTATTCTAAACAAGCTTGTCACAGTCTGCTCTTTGTACATACCTCCGCACCACCGTCTTGAAAAACTTCAATTCCAGTCTTTAATAGACGAACTACCTGAACCTTATCTGGTCCTTGGGGACCTGAACGCACATAATGGTCTGTGGGGTGACTCTCGCTGTGATGCACGAGGTCGTCTCATTGAACAAATCCTCATTTCATCGGGTGCTTGTCTGTTGAATAGGAAAGAGGCAACATACTATAACCTTGCCAACAAAACTTACTCTTCCATAGACCTCAGTATCGCATCTCCTTCACTTGTACCATTACTTCAGTGGAAAGTCATAAATAATCCATTTGGAAGTGACCATTTCCCATCAGTTTTGAGTACACCAATAATAAATGAATGTCCTCCACATGTTCCCAAATGGCTGGTAAACAAAGCCAACTGGGAACGATTTCAAAAGCTTACTCACTTAAATTGGACTGACATATGCGGATTAGGCATAGATGAAAATGTGCAGTACTTCACGCCTTTTTTTTACTGACGCAGCAACCAAGTGCATTCCACAAACATCTGGACTGCCCGGCAAACGACACGTTCCGTGGTGGAACAGTGAGTGTCAGAATGCGCGAAAGGAACAGAACAGGGCATGGAGGTTGCTGCGGAACTCGTCGACAGTGGAAAACCTTGAGAGCTTTAAAAAAATAAAATCTCGAGGCAGGAGAACGCGTCGGCAGGCCAGAAAAGAAAGCTGGCACAAGTTTTTATCAGGGATAAGTTCATATACACAAGAGGCTAAAGTCTGGAACATGGTTCGTAGGGTAGCAGGAAGACAAGTACACTCACTCCCACTCGTAAACACACAGGGTGAGAGCCTGGAAGATCAAGCGAACTTCCTCGGTGCACACTACGAGCAGGTGTCTAGCTCGTCACACTACACTGAAGCTTTCCAAAGATACAAATCAAAGATAGAAAAGCAGAAACTAGAATTCAAGTGCACAAATTACGAGGCATACAACCAACCTTTCAACTTAGCTGAGCTACAAACATCACTAAACTCTTGCAGTAATTCCGCTCCAGGCTACGACCATGTCACATATGAAATGTTGAAAAACCTGCCACTCAGAACGCGAAAAACTTTACTCTCTCTATACAATGCTATCTGGCTTTCAGGCACCATCCCTGCTTCCTGGAAAGAAGCTATTGTTATACCTATTTTGATACAGGGCAAGGACCCTTCCTCTGTTTCAAGTTATAGGCCCATTGCACTAACCAGCTGCCTTTGTAAACTTTTTGAAAAAATGATAAACCGCCGACTTTTACATTTCCTTGAAACACACAATCTGCTTGACCAATTTCAGTGTGGGTTTCGAGAGGGTAGATCCACCACCGACCATCTGGTGCGTATCGAGACACAGATCCGAGACGCTTTCGTCCACAAACAATACTTCCTCTCAGTGTTTCTCGATATCGAGAAGGCCTACGACACAACATGGCGTTTTGGCATATTAAGAGACTTGTCTCACCTGGGTGTGCGCGGTAGAATGCTTTCCATAATCGAGAGTTACTTGTCCAACCGGAAATTCCGTGTCCGTGTGGACAGTATTCTCTCGCAAACATTTGTGCAAGAAACGGGAGTACCGCAAGGTGGTGTACTTAGTTGTACACTTTTTATTATTAAAATGAATTCCTTGCACCTGTCCATCCCCTGCAACATGTTCTATTCCACATATGTCGATGACGTCCAGCTTGGCTTTAAGTCATGCAACCTAGCAATGTGTGAGCGGCAGGTTCAGTTAGTTTTAAACAAGGTCTCCAAATGGGCAGAGGAAAACGGATTCCGGCTGAACCCAGGAAAAAGCACGTGTGTCTTGTTCTCCCGAAAGAGAGGCATGCACTCAGAACCCGACATTGAACTGAACGGCCAACGTCTGTCTGTGAATGCGAAGCATAAATTCCTAGGCTTAATCTTGGACAACAAGTTGACCTTCGTACCACACATAAAGTATTTAAAAACAAAATGTTTAAAAGCCATGAATGTTATAAAAGTGTTGTCACGTACTACGTGGGGTAGTGACAGGAAATGCCTCATGAACCTGTATAGAAGCCTTATTCGCACCCGCTTAGATTATGGGGCCATTGTTTATCAGTCTGTGACTCAAAGTGCTTTGAAGATGCTGGATCCCGTGCACCATTTGGGCATCCGCCTTTCTACGGGTGCTTTTCGCACCAGCCCCGTAGAAAGCCTTTACGTTGAGTCAAATGAGCGGTCGCTTCATCTGCAAAGAACCTACATGTCCTTTGTATATTTCCTTAAGGTGAAAGCAGACAAGAGGCACCCCTCATACTCTACTATTAATGATTTGTTGAGCTCCATTCTTTTTCAAAACAGGCCTTCAATGAGGCAGCCCTTCTCAGTTCGCCTGAAGGGTCTAGCTGAGGACACTGGAGTGTCACTCGAACACAGTTTAATGGCTCCTGTAGCATACTTGCCACCGTGGCAGTGGCAGACTATAGATTGCGATGTGTCTTTCCAAGAATTTACTAAACATGCGCCTATTGCCCATATTCGAACATACTTCTTGGAACTTCAGCACAAATACACACGTCCTGAGTTTTTTACAGATGCCTCTAAGTCTAACTCCTCTGTGTCCTACGCTGCTGTTGGCCCTTTTCGGATGCTGGCCCTCTACATCCAGGCACAAGTATCTTTACAGCGGAAGCTTACGCGATACTTGTGGCAGCTAAACACATCAAACAATCACCAATTCAAAAAGCAGTAATTTATACAAACTCCCTCAGTGTGGTAACGGCTCTGCACAGTCTTAAAAAACAAAAAAAAACCTGTCCTCGTTTCACTTTACATCATTTTATGCACACTCTACACACTCAACCGACATGTTGTTGTGTGCTGGGTGCCAGGGCACCGTGAGATTCAAGGCAACATGATGGCGGATCAGCTTGCTGCATCCGTCCACGAAAGCACCGCCATTACACCCACATCAATCCCGGCCCTTGATCTTAAGCCGTCTCTCAAACGAAAGCTCAGGGACTACTGGCAGAGCAAGTGGGATACACACACACAAAAGAAACTACACGTTATCAAGCCACACCTTGGCCATTGGCCACCAGTATCAAAATCACGTCACACAGAGGTAACATTAACGATGCTCAGGATAGGACACACATACACGACACACTCATATCTTTTCTCCGGTGGCGATCTACCATTGTCTGACAGATGTGGTGAAGCACTAACAGTTCTCCACATTTTAATTCAGTGCAAACAATTGGACACTCTAAGAAAACAACACTTTCCTTCACCCTACCAACAACATATACCTTTACACCCTGCAATGTTCGTCGGTAGGGAACCGCTTTTTAGTCACAAATCATTGTTAGCATTTTTAAAAGAAATTCATAGCTTTCATGTCATATACCCGGGCAGGCCGTAGCACGACTTCTCCAGAGAGGTTTTCGCTGCGGTGGCTACACAATAAAGCACTTGCCTCACGGCCCTTGGACGCAAGGGTATGAACGAGTGAGGCACTTGTGCTAATGCCATTTATGCCCACCATCGTTTTTATTATCATTAACTTTTGCCATCTATTCGCCCCACACACACCTTTCACGGCATGGTCATGATTTTATTAATTGTATGTTTTTACCCGCTTTACTGCGAGGAATTTTATGGCCCTTATACAGCCGCTAATCACAATCATTGTCCACATTCCTGTCTCATGAACTGGCGCTCTTTGGCCATCAAATGGCCCTTGCGCCAAAAAACACCATATATCATCATCAGCATGCAGGGCACTTAGGCATGGCAATCAAACCGCTTGGAGTGGTCGCTCGATTTTGGACTTCCAGAGGTTTGTTCCTCAGAGTACAGTGGATTCTTTGGAATTGCAAATTGAAAATTCGATTTCTCGCTAGGTTTACTCTACCACAACACCCCCTTAACAACACAAATGATGGCACTAGCTTTTTGATCACGACTTTATTTGCTCGCCCACACACACTGCACGACTGGCTAATTATATCTGCTGTTGATTGCAGTGCAACTTACGCCCATTTTGTCAGCTCATCTCCAGATTAAAGGGGCACAAGAGTGAAACAATGAGTCAATTCAGACTGATAAGGTATACTGTGATAACATGAGTATCATCATTTCACCATCTTAAGTTTATTGACAGAGGAGAGAATCAAGGTCGAATTTCATTTTTAAATATCACACCGTAATTTTCGCATGTGAAGTCACACAATTCAAATGGCAGCGGCCGTAGCTTCGGGACATTTGTTAAACAAAATTTCCTTAAATTTGGTACCTTAATTCTAGAACCCCCTCAAATGTGGATGTATTTTATTTTTATTGTTTGGGAAGCACATAAAGCCCGAGTGGATGTCGTCAGAATCTTTCACATCATGGTGTTTGCCTTGCGTATTTGAAGGCAGCATCGCTACCCACATTTTCTTCTTGCTTGTTTTCTTGCTTACCAGGAGTCTTGTCGCGATAAGCAGGAACAAGAAAAGAGGGATTTGATGATAATTGAAAAATCATTTTTCTCGTTGGTGTGCCTTTAAGTTATCTTTTTTGCCATCCGAGGCTTAAAAGATCCCCGTGCAGCTTTGAATTTGAGAACAATCACTTGGAATTTGGTTGTTGGTATGCACATTGCAAGTCGAAATGCATTGTTTGGATATTTTTCTCGATTTTTATTTTGTGTTAGACTGATTTTTTTTTCTAACATCCTGTGCTCCCAAGTAGAAGGTGCGGCACTCGCATGAGTCTGTATGATACTTTGGCATGCGCTGCTTCTAGAAAGACTATGCTTATAAAAAGCTTTCGTTGAACACTGGGCTTACAAAAAAAGTGTCGAGTTCTTGTTTTGGAGGTTATCTAGCTGCTGTGTTGTTTACCAGTGGCTCACTGTGATCACACATTGCGCAGTTCCTTGTCCAGCGGAAACGCTACTATCGCTTCAAGTCTGAGCGTTGCAGCGACACCAAGGCAGAGATGGTTGCCATTTGCAAAAAGCACAACATGAACGAAATGTCATGCTGTCTTGTGGAACTCAACAGGTGAGAGATGTGATGAAAGTCACCCTAGCATACACTTGGTGATGTCATTAACAGCTAATGCCCAGCATTGACTCTATGTTAAGTTGATTATGTGGCTGATTGCAGTGCCATCATTTCTTTTTTTTTTTAATTTCTCGATAAATTAAAGGCACCTTGGGTGTGTCCATCTATCTGCCACTTTTGTCGTTATGCTCTTACAGCCATTTCATTGACATAACATAAGCCGATACTGCCATGGCATGGCATGACTGTGGGACATACATAAATGATGGGTTATAATCAAGGTGACACTCACGTCAGTTATGTCGTGTACGTTTTGATTTAAATGACAAGGTCTTCATGCTCTCTAGGCCATTTCATTAACCTGACAGTATATGCAAACATAAATCACAGGTCATAATGTGAAAATTACATCCCCGATACCTTGTGTGCGGTGTGCTAGGCATTACAGAAGAAAATTAACTGAACATGTTGCTTGTTATTCTAAAGAAATGGAATACAACCATCCTACGTTACCAACAAAAAGGGTATACAGCTGAACCCGTTGTAAGAAGCGTGCTCCAGGCGTGTATTTTATATGAAGTGTCTCTTATAAACAGGGTGCCGCGTATGCATTTTCTTATCAATCTATATTTCAATTCAGCCACACAGGTGTCTCTTATATCTATTTGTCCCTTATATCAGAGTCTCTTTTAAAGGGGTTTGATTGTAGTGTTGTCATCATTGAAGTTGCTGAACAAAAGCAACAAACATTACTGTTGCAGTTGCTTAGTCCGTAATCAAGCTTTGAGTGCAGAAAGCCCTGTCCTCTTCACCGGGAGGAAGTTTGACACATGAGTTATAGCCAAAGTTGCCAGTTACGCTTGTAATAAGTTTATTTGGGCTTCTTTTTTTTTTCTTTTGCAGCAGAGTCACTTGTAAAGTTTTCCAGTTGCTTTTTGCATTTTTGGAGCTTATTTGCATTTTCCAGCAAATACAGTTTTTTTAGTGATCATCACGTTTACCTATATAAGTTTGTCATTCACTAACAGCGTGTTTGTTGATGACTGAGCAGTTAAGTGTATAGGCGTGCGGAGGGTTCTTCAGCGAGGGGGGGGGGGGCGAAAGTTTATCGCAGTGCTCCTCCCTTAGGTGACTAAAGAAAGTGCCCCCCCCCCGTCTCCCCCCCCTCCTTTAGCAGCTCCCTTAGCCCACGTAAATGGTTGAGTGTTCAAACATTATGTCAGGAGAAATTAAACATTCAGTCGAACATATGTCGAGGGAAATTGCAAGGAACAATAATCAGTTAATCATGAACTGGGAAATGTGCCTTCACTGAGTGGAGAGACAATCCTGGAGATAATGTTAAGAAGTAGCTAGGTGCTTTTGTTTATAGTTGCAGATACTTTTGCTGTTGAAAACAATTATGTGATTTTTTAAGCTCCTCATCATATTTCACCAACATTTTTTTAATCATAATTAAAAATATTTTCAGTAGAAAAATTCATTATGTGTCTACTTCTTTTGGGCTTTTTTTTTTGTGATCAGTGTTCCTTTGTTTCCTCGGTCACATCTGGCAACAAGTGTTCTAGATCTCAGATAATGTCTCTAAAACAATAAAAATGTAAACTCAAGGTTTTTGGCTGCCTCATTTTCAAAATTTGCTTGAAGAGATTCAATGACATGGTATTTGTAGCATTATCCTTCATTTGAAATATGATATAGTGTTGGGAGTGCTTTTTTTTTAATGGAAAAAGAAATTTTGTTGTAAATACGGGGGTTTTGCAAGGAACCATTTTGGGGTCATTCTTGTTTGTTTAATTATGTAATGACATTACTAGCTTTGGTGAATTACTGCTATCCACTCACAAACACTAATAAAACAAAAACAAATGGTTGCATAAAGTGTTTTGGTCTCAGCAATGCACATTTTCAAGAGATCTCTAAATAGCAATGTATGACATCTCTTCAGTTCACAGAAATAGCAAAAGCAATTGGAGTACTTTTTTGTCAAAACATGAGCTGAGATTTGCAGGCTTAAGGCAGTTTCCATGTTTCGGCAGGGACAGTGTTAATGCTGTTGTTCTGCGATATCTTGATCATCAGCTGTACTTATCTTATATAGGAATGAATTTAATTCTGAACTAGAGGCAATGTGAAAGTGTATTAGCTTGTTAGGTGTTTTACAATGAAATGGTAGAAGTAGGCATCTATCTCCCTGGCAAGTATATTTCTTGAAGCCCTTTTTTTTCTTGCTGTTTTACACCACTGCAGGTACATGGCTGGTTACAGGGCAAGCACCAAAGGCCTCCCAGAGGTCCTGCGTCGGCACCCAATGTACAAAGAAATTGTTTATATGCTCCCAGCTTGCTATGGCGTCTCCTTCTGGCCTCCAAATGTGAGTTTGTTCTTTCTATTAACGTTAACAAGAATGACAGTGGGGACGAATAAGTTACCTGTGCCTGTCATCGAGGTCAACATTATAAAAAAACATGAAAGGAATTCTATACACAACTTGAAGTGTGAAAAAAAGAAAACAAAGACTTCATTTTCGTGCGCTTCAGATCAACACAAATTCTTACAAATTTGGCTAAGTTTCAGTTGTGAATTTAGTTGTTCTCGTTCTCAAAAGGCAAATTATCATCCACTTAACCGTAGTATGAACCTGTAAAGTAAACCCGTAAAAGTCTGAAAAACTGAATTAACAGCTGAAGAAAAAATTTCTGGTCAAGATAACACACTTAGAACCAAGCCATCTTTGTTTCTTTACCATTTGAATAAGCCAGAAGTGTAGCAGATCAGAGAGTGAGGGCAAATCTGTGTGACACATGACTCATGCATGTGATATCTTTGGCCAGCACCTTGGCTCAATGTTCATTTGGTGAATGACTAATTCTCGTTCAGCAGTGCTGTAAAAAGCAGCAATCAAGCGCAGCACGTGATAATTCTAGTATTCTGTCTTGAAGCCACGATATGCAATGGTGATGGAGGCCCAAGGATTAATTGGTGTATTCATGTGGGAGGTGGTGGCCAAATACTGCATAGACCGCTGATAATGTGAGTCTCTGGAGTCACGACTATGTGCGCCATAAACAAAACAGCCTTTTTCAGAGGCTGCAGTTGCACAAAATGGGCTGAGCGCATGCAGCCTCGCATGTCGGAGATTAAAACGTGCAATGTGTGGAGCTCACAACCATTTAAATTTTTAATCTTGAGAAAATTAAGGCTCAAATACTCGTATTGCCAACACAACGAACACGAAGGGGAGGAGGTGGGGCTAATAAAATAAAGCACAATTGCAAAAATTTCCTGACTACCTTTCAGATCGCCTCGAATACGCAAATTAGAAGCTATGCAGAATCACAAGTGAAATATTGCGCGCGCTGAATGGTACGGATCGTTTAATTTCACGGTTTCAACACATTCAAATCGAACTCGATTTCAACATATTGCAATCGAACCATGAACCACCGTTCAAGAGTTACACATGCCACCCATGGCCTCTTTTTCAGTACTGATATGCATTCCTTCTCTTCGTGCGCAACCACTGTAAAGAGTTACGTAGACTTCGTACCAAACTGCAGCATTGATCGCCTGCAACCATTGCCAAAAGGCAACCTACATCGATTAGGCCTATTCTGCCATATGGCATGTTGCCGTGGGAAGTTTGTTCGTGACAACATGAAGATCGGGCATCAAAAAACTTGCAGTTAAGCTTCGAACCAAGAGCAGTGTGCCTGATACGAAGTTTGCGTTTGCAGCCGGGAGATTGCCGACGACAAAAGCCCACCAAGACTTTGTAAGTCCGCAAACTGGTAGCAAAGGTGAAAGCTCGTGTCATGAAATGTTAAGTTTATGGACAAGGTTGCTTTTCTTGACAGAAATCACAAAGCGCATTTGATGAGGACATGATCGCACATGCTATGCCGAGCGCGCGCGGCCAGCAAGCGTCCGAGCCTAGGTGGCCTTGCCAGAGCCAATGCAAAGGCTTCTCTGTGGCCTAGGCAACCGCCCTTTTCCCTCACTGATCAAGCCCATGCAGTGCTGCCGCAGTATTTTTGTAGGAGCAAAACTTCTTAGGCCCGCACCTCGCCGCCGTCGAATCTTCCCGTCGCACCATTACTCTCCTACCTGTCTCCCTCTTCATCCCTTCGCACTGTTCATCCCTTTGTAGGCTGATGCTCTACTTCTATGCCATTGCTCTATCATAGCAGCAGAAAACGCAGGACTGGGTTGATTGGTGGGACATGGGAGAGGCAGTAGCGCCACTAGTATTACAGCACGAAACATCGCCTTCCGAAAAGCGACACCGCGATGCCGGGCTCATCTTCATGTAAGTCTCCCGCACCACGTTTAGTCCAGACTAACGTCCTGTCATCAACTCCAGGCTATGCAGGTGACGGAGATCACCTTGCCTATTCACGCGGCCTGTCCACCGAAAGGCCTGCCACCCTGGTGTTTCCGGTTCCTGTCTCCGAGGTCTTGGCTTTGCCACCAGTGCCACCTGAACCCCTCTCTATGGCAGATTTGACGCGGTTACGGCTTCACACACCATCAGATTAATTGCAGGTTCTGCTGCACCGATTCCCGATTTGTCGATGACAGACAAGCCACCTGATCCGCCTGGTGACTTCTCGGGCACCACCGCTGAGCCTACCACTAAGACAGTGACAACCGCGTACAACGCACCGGGGCCAGCCAGAATTGCAACCACCTGCGTATGCCACGACAGCCGCGCAAGCACTCAATAAGCATGCTGCATTGCGTGTGTGCTGCTCATCACCGAACCTTCGAAGGAATACCATGAACACTGGTTCAAGACCCAGTTCTACTGTGGAGCCTGCGCTTCCTCTGCACACCATCCTCCTTAACGGCCCCGGAAATGCAAGCGCCCCGACTCCAAATACGCCGACAGCCGCCCACGGCCTCGCATGTCTTTCGGCTGTGCCTCAAAGACGGCGACGTCTTGTACCCAGAGTCAAGCGCACCGAAGTACCCCAGAGTGCAGGCATTTGCGGCAAGAAGGCGCAAGTACAGCTAAGACACTTCCTGACCCGTCAAATGCGAAAGGCAGACAGGTATCGGTGCTCCACACATCATCGGTTGGCATTGCGCCTATGACATTGTGTGCAGCACCAGCATCATCAGTGTCGCATTTCCAACGCTGCCCCACCATCTGCTGTGCAGCTCACCACCTACGGTACGCGTCATGGGAAAATTACTACGCCACATTCCAGCCAATGTCGGCTCGCGTCCGCATGCCTGCCGCATGGATGCCATGCAACGCGCCATTTGGTGTCAGGTCATTGCCGAAAGTCACGCCTGCATTGTGGGCACGTGACTTTTGTCCCCTGCCCAAACTGACGACCGCCATTGCTTCTGCCAGCAGTGTCCGTCCCTCGCAACCCTCGTCCACTCCGCTGCTCTCAGAGCCGCCCACCGGAGCTGCGACCCAGACCCTATGCCTTTCAAGATTACGACTCAGACTTCTTCACGAACATTTAGGTCTGCTGTCCGTGTACATAGTCTCGTTCTCACTTGGTTTTCCTTCTGCATATACTTTTGAAATCGCGCAAAGCGCTGGGGGGGAGCTATGTAGCACCATGTCAGTCTTGGCCAGCTGTCGCGCTAAAGAAGAAGTGAGCCATGTGGCTTGTGATGCACAAGCCACAAGGAATTCCAGAACGGCCTACCTCCTGGCCTGGCTGGACGCTGCAGCTGGGACTCAGCCTATGCTCGTGTCCCAAATAAAGCTGTGGCCTTGGCACGGACTCATCGCCACCATCTCGTGTCTCGTACTTCAACAAGGCCTTTGCACTGCAGTGGGCATAGTCAGGTGGCTGATAGTGATGATCAGGCAATAGGGTGACCCAAGAAGATAAGAAGATTGGCTGGCCAAGAAAGCAGGGAGAGACATGTCATAGGGATGACGAGGAGGTCATGCTTCCAAAAAAATAGCAAAACTTTGTTGCGGATAATTTTGCTTTCAAACAGTGCTTCATGGCTGCCCAGAACCCACACCTTCAAAGCCTGTCTACGGCCGTCTGTGCAAAACCAGCACATAACTGCAAGGGGAAGTTTCAACTGCCATGTCTGGCTCGCCTTTCCGGATATATCCGCATGCAATATCAGTAAACATGACTCTTTTGAAGACAGCAGTGTTCACAGTGTAGGCCTAGCTTCTGGGCTGGAAATTAGAACAAATAAAGTCAAGTTTAAACTAAAGAGTGCCCCTGGGAATAGATTGCTTGGTGACTTGAGCAGTGCCACACATTAGTGTGTACCTTACCTAGTGCTGCTAAGTGGGCACAGGGAGAGAGGCTTGATTTAGTGTGAGTGCTTCAAGCTGGAATGCAGATGAGCGTTTATCTACAGGTAGTTCACGATGGGGGCAAATATAGAGTTTCCCAAAATCAACTATAGAGGGGACTCTAGCGCTGCGATCGTTCAGCGACTATGGGAATGATGGCTTGTACATGGATGTGCCTAGTCTCTGCACTTGCGAGCAATGAATCTCACTTGTGGCTTCATTTATTGCTGTGTTTCAGTTATATTTTGAAAAATAGAATGAACCCTTTCGAACTTCATAACCCGATTTGAAAAGGTTAAGGGGGTGAAGCGCAACTGCTGAACATTTAGCGATCATTGTTTTGTGACAAAGCAGCTTCAAGCCATGCGAAGCCAAAAGGAATGTAAAGTATGAAGACTAGGAAAATTCGTGTACTACGCACAATTCCCATGCTCACCGAAGCGTCATGTGGTGCAGCTCCCATATACACTAGTGCCAGAGTTTCTGCTAGTGTATGAGTATGAAGCTGTATGGTTGCAAACTCTGGGCCATACAACAAGGCCTTCATGTGTGCCGTCTTCCCAAACACCTACCTTTGGCAGTCACCTATCGGGGTTTTTGAGATGTACGGTAGCAAGGGGAGGTGTGATGCAAATTTAAAGGGAAATCACCCCATAGATTAGAGGAATCTCATTAAATGATCAGTGTTCAAGTTTTGGAGCTTAAACTCATAGAAGTTTCTATTTATTTTTGTTTTAATACTGCATACAAGTCTGCCAGTACACGGCCCTGCAGTTCAAGTTATCCATTAACTGAAATTATATTTCAATTTGTGAAGATTCTACTGTGTCAGCACTAAGGAAACAGGAGCAGAAGGACGTAAGATGAGACAGAGGGTGTAACCGGATATTCACTCATGCCGATTGCGTTCCTCATGAAGTATCCACTCGCGCAGCAGTGTCTTATTGTAGCATGAATCAACTTGCAGAAAAAGTTCAGCTGTAAATGTTGAATATAGTGAAGGTACGTGCACATTCACTGTTACTTCTTTGAATTGACATTGTCAGGAATGACAACTTGAATCAAACAAGAGCTGGAGCTCATTTTAA